AGCTTCCATAGAATAAAGTGATGGAAGACATTAAAATGAAATGTTTAGAGTTCTCTCAGAGATCGGCTGTGTTGAAGTCTATATGTACACATATGAGATAAACTATCTGTCATTTAAACCAAAGTCCAGCTTTGCTGCAGTTTCTCCGAGCGTTGTATGCTCTATGCATCTGTTTGACGAGCAATGCAGAGGGACGAAGGTCTTCTGTTTTGCAATATGCAAATATTCTTCACGAATGACAACCATTGAGATGCAATTAAAATATCTTTGGATATATAGTGTGCATGCTTTTCATTTTCATTTGCATATCTGCACAGTCAATGTAATATAAACCAAAGCAAAACTGAAAATAAAAAAACAAACATTGTGGATGTGAAATGATATCAAGGCTGACGTTCCAGATTTGTAAATAAAACAGCTCAAGTAAATATAGATCAGATGCTAATTATGTAAGATTTGGTTGTAAGACAATATTACATACAGTGTACAGGAATAAAGGTTTTGTCCATTTAAAAGATAAAGGTATAATATGTACCATAAGTTGGGCAAATGCATTATGGGAATATGAATATTTAAGTAGCAAAACTAATAGTAAACGTGATGAAAAAATACTGAAATATTTGAACAAATATATATAAATCTAAGAATATAATGACTACAAATTATTATATTCTTTTTTGGTATGCTGCTTTAATATCACAATGAAATAAATGTCCAAATACAACTCTCTTTAACACTGTATTGATTAATGCAAGTGCTTCTGTCAACGGTATCTGCCTCCTGAATTCATGTAATTTCATTTAGATCTCTGTTTACGTCATGCACTTAGAACTGGGCCATATTTAGGCCACGAGCATAAGACTTTTAACAAAACTGCTTGCTTTTGCTATACACTCTGGTAATGCGATCTTTATACCTTTCACCTTTTACTAGGCCATCGCTGACTGAAAACTAACAGAATGAGCTATTTTTAACCGTTTGGCCTTGTCAGACACCTTTACCCTCTGTGAAACCAACCTTTAAGGAACAGATCAATGAAAACAGCCATTTACTCAGAAAACCCACACAAGCGAATGCAGCTGACATGGATTTATTGTAACATGTAAACCACAAAAGCATGAAAAATACTACATTATGTACAATTATATATAATTTCACGGCACACAGAATCTTAAATGAGTGCGTAAACCGGAGCGGACGTGGGATCGACCCATCAAGACCGGCCTGACGCAGATGTTTGAAGAGGAAACATGAAGACCCTCGAGCCCGCAACAGTCCTGCACAGCCAGAGAACACCTGACCGTCGCTCCAACGCCACATCAATCGCTCTTCTTTTCCTCCTGTTCAACGACCGTCTTCTGGATAGCAAACATCTTCCCTATGCACACCTGTGGACAAAGGACAGAGATCATGTCGAATTCCGAGAGTTGACAAAGTTAAAAAAGCAGTGAGATTTAAATGTGACCCTGGAGCACAAAAGCAGTCATAAGGGTCAATTT